CATTATTCAATTTCTACCATTAGATCACACTCTCGCTATATCTTGTTCAAATTTTCGATCGTTAATTAAATACTTTTTATTCAAGTTCAAAAATTTTTTTGAACTTGTAGTGGATGACGCTTGATATTAATACAGTTTTTTCAAACATTAAATAATTCATTAAATTTATTTAATTAATTTCAGTTTTATATGGGGAAAAATTGTAATTATTTTCTAAAAAGTAACTGAAATAGAATTTTTCTTTGTAGGAATTGACTTTTATTACTTATTACTAGTTTAGTTTTCACGACATCATGAGTTTACCTTCGGATGTACAGATGCGCATTACGTTACATATGAGCGTATTGCGTTTAAGCGTATTGCGTTACATATGAGAGGCGTGTTGCGTTACGTATGAAAATAAAAATCATAAATGTAAATAGAATTGGGTAGAAGTTTGTAAGTAATACTCTCAATGAAATTATGAAATTAATTTGCATGAAATTAACTTGAATTAATGAAATTAAGTTCGAGCATTGATTACATCAGACGACAAGTCAGAATGCTTTGTACAAATGATTCATTAAAAAATAAAGAGTACCATTATTGAGGTACAATTGCAAAAAGGAATTTTAAAAGAAAATATCTATTTGCGAAAAAACAACTTTTTAAACTGCCACATTATTATCAAATTTTAATATTGTTTTTCTTTTTAGGATAATCATCATTATCTTAAAAAAAGCAAACAGAAAAGCTGCGTAGTCTCCATCAATTACTTTGGAAAGTGTTATTTTTATTTTATTATTGTATAATAGTCGTTGAATGGCAGATCCAATTTTTGGCGTTTACAACCATTAATGTTCAATACTGTAGCCTTGTAGTTTGAAGCCAATCCAGAAGACAAGGGAACTCCTGGCTCAGTACTCCCAGAGGTATGATTTGTTATGGGAACATGGAGGACTTGATGAAGATGTTGAACATTTAACAGTAACAGACGTTCATTGATATATGTTTTCTATAAAGAGTTCTTATAAGAGATCAGTCTTTTAACTTTATGATATATATTCTCTTCTGTTTTATTAAGCCTAATTCGAATTTGGTTTCATGATTTCTCTGTGATAAATTTTATTTCAAGAATCATATCGCGCATGCATTCTAAGTTAAAAGTTATCGACATAAATTGTTTCGTAAAAATAATTATACTGCCATTAAAATAACGTGAAATATATAAATAAAACATAAATGGAATTTATAAGGCGAAAACTAATTCATCAGAGTGTAAATGAGCGTAAGTTTAGTGTGAAATACGCCTTTTAAAATATATATGAAATCTCGATTGTTAACCTTATAATTTTATATTTTATAATCGTCGTTGAACAGCCGACCCAAATTTTTGGTTTACAACTACTAACTTTCAACTCCATAGTCTTGTCATTTTGAACCCAATCCAAAAGACAAGGGAACTACTGGATCAAGTATCGGGTGAAATTTACATTCGTGGAGGACTTTTAGATGGAACTAACAAGTATTTGCTTTCCATGGAGAACCACGAAAATCTCTCACAGTTAATATGACGACAAAGGGTCTCTAACCCATGATCCTACTACTGAGGATATTTCACGTCAGCACTGTGGTCGGTGCAAGCCGGATACGGATTATTCGTATCGATCTAGATACTCGAACCCGGTTTATTCCTTTACACAATTTATTGGGTTGTTCAGCGACAAATTAAGAGTGACCACTGTTTTAACTGGAGAGTTTCCTACCGCCTCACTTTCTTTCTTTGTTTTAGATCTGAAAAAATTAAAAATAATTTCTTCGTTTTAGTGCATTTAAAAAAAAGAAACAATTATAATTATTTTAAAAAGTATCTTATAACGATTTTTCACTAATTTTTAAATAAAAATAATCTATACAAATACATTGCTTTAAAACTGCATAGATAAACTGTCTATTCAAAGCCAAATAAAAAGTTACCGGAGAATAAATGACTGTAAGAGATTGCGTGAACAATCCATATAGATTATGATACAAGAGGGCGCTTAAGATGACTGATAGGACGTTGTATATTTTCCAATCAATGATCAATTTTATTGCTCACTTTACCATTATTTTTATTGAAAGATCTTTCGTATCTGACACTTTTAGAGTGAAGAGGTTTGTTGTTTTTTTTATTTTATTTTATCGCAGTTATTGTAATGTTTGTCACATAGGCGATTTCTGTCATAATTTTGTTGAAATGAAATGAGCCAAAAGAAAAAACCTCTCAGTGAGGAAAAGAACTATCAATCCATAAAGGAATAGAATAGATGTGTGGGAATTATGACTAACAGGGAATTATTACTCTGGCTAAAGTCGTGCAAAACATGTTATTATTAAAACACAACAGTGCGTCTTATAAATTGGTTTTATTATTATAATTTACTAGTATAATACCTGAAATAATAATTATTCTATATTTATATTACACTCTATAACAAAAAAATCGATGCACCAAGAAGGAGTTGTCCGATTGAAACGAAAATTGGTGGATAGGAAGACAATGTACAGAATAGTAAATGATTAAAATTTCAGAACAATTGAATAATTTATTGTAGAGTTACAGTAACAAGTTCAATAAGATGTTGACCAGCCTCTAGCTAGGATACAAGCTGCCACACGGCGTGGCATAGACCGAAAAAGCTCCCAGATGGTCTCTTGCGGTATTTCGTGCAAAAATTCGATCCAATTGTCGAACGAAGGTCATCAACATTCTGTGCCAGATGCAATCGCCTTCCCATCATATCCCAGACATGCTCGATGGGAGAGAGATCTGGTGATTTGGCAGGCCAAGGAAGAGTTTGAAAAGCTTGCAGACAGTTCATAGCAACACGTGCCGTATGTGGTCTGGCATTATCCTGCTAAAAAACTACCCCAGGGCGCTGCAAAAGGAACGGTAGCAAAACAGGTCTTAGGATGTCGTTGACGTACCGCTGTGCAGTAAGTGTACCTCTAATGACGACCAAAGGGGTCCGGCTGTCAAAGGAAATGGCACCCCAGACCATAATGCCTTGTTGAGGGCCGGTGTGGCGTGCAATAGTGAAGGCAGGATCCCCCCTCTCCCCTGTGCGTCTCCAAACACGTCTTCGATGATCGTCGGGACACAGTTGGAAACGGGATTCGTCGCTAAAGACTATACGTCCCCAGTCGGTATCATTCCAACCTGATAGAGCGTCGATTTTGCGCGTCTTAGTGCGTTCTTGGTGCGTCGATTTTCTTGTTATAGAGTGTATATATCGTCTAATTTATTCAATCGTCGAATTTATACTATTTATCGTCTTATTTAACCCATTGATACACTAACGTATACAGGTGGAAATTGATTTCAGTAACGTAAAAACAATAAAGCTGTATAGAGTATCACGTGATAACTAAGATTTTACATAGAATCTTACAGTGCGTCTAATAATTTGGCAATGGACTGTATAGCACAACTGAAATGCTGAGAATATTCGGTGAATTACATACCCATTGAATACGCTTCGGTAGCCGTAATATACTTCCGTACATCGTTGTAAAAGTTTCAGAGACAATTTTCAGAAATTTTTGTAGTTCCGTTGTTGGGGAGGGGGGAGGCTTCCTTTAGCCCTAAACATAGCGTTTTAGGGGCAATTCTTTAATAGTGTAAATAAGTCTGTACTTGATGTAAGGATTTTCCAGTATGGGTTATCTGGATTTAACTAAACCTTTTCTAAGTTTCTAAGCGATTCAGCTTTCGACTGAATTATTCATTCACATAAGTCTAGGATTTTTTCTGCACTAAATTCGAAAAAGGTAATTACATAGCAGTTCTTACAATGTGTACTGTAAAAAATTCCAGATCAAAGTATGGTAAAAAGCACTCTGAGAGTCGCATCCATAAAATCCATTTTTACAGTAAAAATTTATGCAGTACTTTTTACAGCAATATTTACTTACTATGATGACGTTAAAATGGATTTTACGGTAAAAACAGCAATTTCATCCTGATTTTTTCTTACTTTTTCCACTATTTTTACTGGAATTTTTTTTACGGTGTGGATACAATAGATCGATGCGAAATACAAATTCAAAAAAAGAAAAAAAAAATTTAATTTTTTTCCTTGGTACTTACATTTTGGTGCTAATTTTAACAGAGAAGAGACCTTTAATTAAAATTGTTTTCAGGAGACTTTTAAGAAAATGTTGGAAATATATTCTTATGAAGCCATTTACTACTGGTATTCCACTTTATCTGAGACGATAAACGCGTCTCTTTATTAACTGGATAATAGATTCACTCTGCCTGCTTCTACAAGACACCATTCAGAATATGAGGAACGTCAGTTGGCAAACCTTTGCAAAGTATTGGAAAAACATCTTTTTTATTTTATAACAGTTGTTGAACAGCTGACCCTAATTTTTAGATTTACGACTACTAATGTTCAACTCCGTAGACTTATAATTTTGAACCCTATCCAGAAGACAAGGAAACTCCTGGATTTGCTCCTGGATCCTTTTTGATGGAACAAACCCGCATTTGCGTTACATGGAGAGGAAAACCAAGAAAACGGTTAGCTGACGGCAGAGGGACTCTAACCCTTGATCCGTCTACCATGAAGATATTTCACGTCAGCACTGTGGTCGGGGCAAACCGGATGCGGAATTCGTATCGACCAGCCATCGCCGGGATTCGAACCCTGTTCCCCTCATTGGAAGGCTCCATCCGCTGAGCCATCACGGCTCGTAAAAAGATCTTTTGACGTATTCCTGAAAGTATGACGTAGATGACAATTTTATTGATCAGTTTTGAAATGAGAGCCAAACACCATCTATTTTAATTCACTCTCAATCAACACTTTCAGAAAGGATTAAAATAATAATTCCGAAAGAGGATTATTAAAACTTCATTTTGTTTTTTCCTATTTCGTACGAAAACCTTTGGCGAAGAGCATTCTATTCTATTTATAGAAACCTCATTTATTTAAACCAGTCTGAGAAACTAAGATTCATTTTGTTTCACGAATCCCGAGATGAGCATGCGCACAAAAACTGGGATGCTCTCTCCGGGATCTTCTTCCGAGAGGGGATCTTCTCTCTGTCTTGGTTATTATAGAAACGACAACAAACGACAACGACCACTTGTTCTCCAGGTCCACCCTCTTTCAAACCATAATTTGTTTGTTTTTTTTAAGTAGGAAAGAAATTGATCAAAACTTTTGAAAAAGAAAAGCGTATGAAAATATTTGAAAAGATTTAAAATGATTTTCAATAAAAGTGGCCACAAATGTCCAAAGTGACCACAAATGTCGATATGTGACAAATCTAGGGATTTTATAGAAAGTTACGGAAATGAAACAGTGTTTGGGCATTGGTGCCAATTTGAGAGCGTGTCCTCAACTGCCCACTACACAGTGGGCATTCTACTAGTTATTATCTGCATATTAAGTGTGGCGGGAAATCTATTAGTGGTCATTGTTTTCTCAAAGTAAGTGTCAAATCATTGAATTTTTTTTTGGAATGATGTTTTTTTTAAAAACTAAATTTTTTCCCTTATTTGTTTATTGTTTTCTCTTAATTGTTTATTTGAGACTTACTTTTTTCTCAAAGTAAGTGTCAAATACTTAAGTTTTTTTTTTTTTTTTTTTTTTTTTTTTTTTTTTTTTTTTTTTTTTTTTTTTTTTTTTNNNNATAACCGTAATGATATTATTTTTCTTATGAATCAAATTGTTTTCTCAAAGAAAGTGTCAAATCATTACGGTTATTTTTTGAATGATATTATTTTGATAAAATCAAATTGTTTTCCCTTATTTGTTTATTGTTTTCTCTTAATTGTTTATTTGACATGACACTTACTTTTTTTTTCTCAAAGTAAGTGTCAAATACTTACGTTTCTTTTGGTGTGATATTATCTTTTTGGGATCGAATTGTATTCTCAAAGTTAGTGTCAAATAAATTTTTTTTTCTGGAATGATATTATTTTTTTAAAAAACGAATTGTTTTCTCAAAGTAAGTCTCAAATCATTGCGTTTTTTTTTTTTGGAATGATATAGTTTTTTAAAAAATCAAATTGTTTTCTCAAAGTAAGTGTCAAATCATTGCGTTTATTTTTTGAATGATATTTTTTTTAAAAATCAAATTGTTTACTCTTATTTGTTTAGTGTTTTCTCTTAATTTCTTATTTGACACTTACTTTGTTTTCTCAAAGTTAGTGTCAAATTTTTGTTTTTTTTTTGGAATTTTTTTAAAAATCGAATTGTTTTCTCAAAGTAAGCGTCAAATCATTGCGTTTTTCTTTGGGAATGATATTATTATTTTTTAAAATAAATTGTTTTCTCAAAGTAAGCGTCAAATCATTGCGTCTTTTTCTGAATGATTATATTTTTCTAAATCAAATTGTATTCTCAAACTAAGTGTCAAATCAGTGCGTTTTTTAGAATGATATTATCTTTTTTAAAAATCAAATTGTTTTCTCAAAATAAGCGTTAAATCACTGTGTTTCTTTTTAAATGATATTATTTTTTAAAATCAAAAATCAAGTTATTGACTGTAAAATGATAAAATGAACGACATTTATTTCTTGTATTCAAATAATATTTGTTTGTCTTACTTTAGCAATTTGTGACCCATAAGTGCCTTGTTTTAACCGTCCCAAATACTCTTCTTTATAATAACGTTAATAACGTTCGCTTAGTTCATTTTTGATTCCTGCACTTATCGTTCTGCAAAAAAAAATTTATTCATCCGCAAATTTTCTTATTATTAAAATTCAGTATTCAGTAGATTCAGTATCATTATAAAATTCAGTAATTCTATTATTGAAATTCTATTATTCATTAAGTTAAAATAAATTATATTATTCAGTGATTCTATTGAACATATTCCATTTTTTCGTAACTCTATTATTCAGTAAGTTTTTCTGATATTAAATTTCAGTATTCATGATTAAAATTCAATAAATTCAGTATTATTTGAAAGTTCAATAATTGTATTATTAAAATTCTATTATTCAGTGAGTTAAAAAAAATCTATCATTCAGTAATTATATTTTTTAAAAAATTCTATTATTTAACAATTTTTTCATTATTAAAATTCAGTATTCAGTAAAATCAGCATCATTATAAAATTCAGTAATTCTGTTACTGAAATTCTATAATTGAAGTTCTATAATTCAGTAAGTTAAAAAAACTATATTATTCATTTATTCTACTAAACAAATTCGCCAACCGACCTGTGTAGGGGTTAGGGAACTACCCTTGCATCAGAAAGGTTTTCTATTACTAAATTTCAGTATTAAAATTCAGTATTAAAATGCAATAGGTTTTGAGAAGGAAATTTTCATATTGAAAAAATCAATTAGTTAACGTTGTTATGCAATACCGTAAAAAATAATATATGTATGCAAATAGGAAGTATATAAAAAATCTCCTGAATAAAACTCATAACACGTGTGTTTAAATATAAAAGTATTGTCTCTAAATTCGTGCAAAACATGCAATTATTAAAACACTACAATGCGTCTAATAATTTGGTCTAATTATTATAATATACTAATATAATACCCTGCTATAATAAATATTGTATATTTACATAATATATCGTCTAACTTACATCATATATCGTGTAATTTAACCAATTGATACACGAACGTAAACAAGTACAAACCGGTTTCAATCGCGTAAAAACAATAATGCTGTATAGAATTAACTGATAATTAAGATTTTATATAGAATCTTATAGTACACCTAGAAAATTTATCCACTGACTGTATTTTCACCAAATGTTTTGTTAGAAGTATGTGAAAGTATGAACACTTTTCTGAGATTTCGTACTTCTGCTGATCAGAATAAAATGACGTAATCTTAAAAACTGTAATACGTGGAAGCCCGTTTCCTTGGAGACGGAGGAAAGAAATTCAATGACGAGCCATTTATATATATATATGCCCTTTTGGTCTTTCAAAACACAATTCACATAGATTCTGCATGCCTTAAGACTTCTTTTAACGGGAACAGTAACAATGACGTAAAAAATGTTTAGATGTTCGACGCATCAGAAAAAGAAGGAAAAAAATGTCTTATTTTAGAGCACTATACTTTTAAAAAAAGATTAGCAATATGTTTGGGTGTGGGTCAAATTTGAAAAATTATATTAAAATTTTTTTTTGCGGCCATGACATTTTACTCATTGGCAAAACTGTTGCTCTCTAATTTTTTTTTGGAAGAACAACTTTTTTGCGTTTTCATCTTGCAGTTAATCTTGAACTGCTCGGTACAGAATTTCGCAGACATATTTGAATGCAGCCCAGACACATTCTGTATAAATTTTTTGATGACGGAATAGACATTGAACAGCCAATCGAGATCAATATTAACATTTTCGGAATAGTACAATGGTGTTTGATGGAGATAATAAGCTGCATCATTCACCCGTTTCAGATTCACAAGTTCATACATAAAACATAATTTGAAGGCTAGGCTTTTTTCTTAAATTTTACACGAATAGTGAATGTTGTTGTTGTTGTTCCTTTACGTCACACTAGGCTGCACAATGGGCTATTGGCGACTGCCCGGGAAACATCCCTGAAGATGATCCGAAATCATGCAATCACAATTTTGATCCTCTGCAGAGAGGATGGCTCCCCCGCTTCGGTAGGTCGANAGGTAGCCCGACGACCTGCACGCGAAGTCGAGCACTTTACGTAAAACAGTTTAACGAGGACCAATACCACACATCCTCGGTCCCTACGCAGGCTGATCCAAGTGGTCACCCACCCTCACACTGACCGAAGCCAGTGATGCTTGACTTCGGTGATCTGCTGGGAACCGTGTCTTAACGAGATCAGTCCACGGCGAGACGAATAGTGAATGAATCATTTATATTGCGTGGAAGACAGTCTACGGTCTTGTGCAAGTCATTGGGTACGTTAACAATGGATCCTTTTATACGTAACTGATGATCAACACCCAGTTCTCTTATTTGCATGAAAGGGGTAAGGAGAGTCACCATTCGCTCTTCGGTAGAGTTCAATTCTCTCAACCACTTTGGTACTTTTGTGAGGGACGGGCTTCATGCTTGCGTTTGCGAACGGAATCTTTTCGTATTTCCGTTTGTGTGTAACGTTTAAGGTATTCCACAGTCTACGTTCTTTGGCTTTGTCAGCCTCGGTAAGTTTAGGCCTTGGCATCGTTTTTTACTTGCTTCAACTCTAACTTTTGGAACCGTGTCCAGCTGTTTAGACCCTCTTTATGCGTCATATTCACCTGAATTAGTAATGAAAATGATCCAGTTTGAACTGTCAGTTAGAATTTTAGATTCTTAATTAAAACAATAAAAACAAAAATATCGTTCAAATGTAGAAATTCTCTTTTTATTAACAACTCAAGAAGTATTTATGGGATTTCTCTGGTCCCGTATCTCAAAAATAAGACTCACCAACTTAATGCATAAAAAAAAGCGAAAGAAAAAAAGAATTCTAAAAAAAATTATCTATCAAGCAGCAGCGGTCGCCATAGCAACGCATGTATTAATTATTGTAGTTTAAAAGTGAGGAGGCCATGAAATCCAAATCAAGACAGATTTTGCTAATTCGTAAAATTAAGTTTTAAACTTTGTAAAAATTACTCGGAAAAATCGCTTGATTATGCTAAATTTTGACTGTCAATCGAGATCAAGAATATGATTTTTCTCTCCATAGTTTGTTTTTTAATTAAGTATAATTGATCTTTCCTTAGTTGAGTTGAACCATTAGAAACGAGAAAAGATGAAATTATACTTAATTGCAGAAACTGTTAAACTTGTGAACCATTCAGGTATGCAGCGAAAATTCAACAACAGAGTCGAAATTTTACAAGCTGAAAGGGCCATTTTTTAAGAATTTAACCTAATTTTTTGCAGAACTCCTAATTAACTTGAATGTTACAGCAATTTTTAATGCTTTTTGTGATTTCTTTTCGTATTATTTTGCATCTAGATACATTTCATTTTGTTTCGTAAAAAACTTTGAAACTCGACATAACGAATCTATCTATAAAAATGTACCAAGAGTACATTGGATTGAAAAAATATTTAACATTCGATTATTAGCTCGAGAATCAGCCTTTTCTAATCATAAAGTAAAACTAAACCGTAATCACTAATCTACTGCCCTGCGAATTGCAACAACAGAGTTGAACTTTCAGAGAGTGTGCTGAAAGGGTAATTTTAATTTGTTAACTTAAAACAATAATTTTTTTTTCTTCGGAAATTTATTGTAATTTTAAGTGCTTTTTTGCGAACCTTTCTCTTTTTATTTTTAAATAGGACTATTTATCCATTGCTACCGATAAATGTATCTCTCTCGAGATCTTCATTTTTATAAGCTCACTATAGCGACTTGAATTAAAATGGAATTAGTCTCGCAGTGGACTGATCGTTAAGACACGGTTCCCAGCAGATCACCGAAGTCAAGCATCGCTGTCAGTGTGCGGGTGGGGGACCACTTGGATCAGTCTACGTAGGGACCGAGAGTGTGCAGTATTGATAATCGTTAAACTGTTCTACCGTAAATGGCTCGACTTTGCGTGCAGGTCGTCGGGATACCGAAGCGGGGGTGCCATCCCCTCTGCAGAGGATCGAAATTGCGATGACATGTCTTCGGATCATCCTCCGGGATCTTTCCCGGACCGTCGCCAATAGCCCATTGTGCTGCTCTAATGCGACTTTAATGAACTACAACATCACCAATCGGAATAAAAAATGAACACTGTTATATTAGTATTTAAAAATTACTTTTTCTTAAATAATTAAATTAGTTATCAAAAAAATTATTCAAAAATATCATTGCTATTATTTTGAGAGCGGTGTGACGTCACATATATTTGCCTTAACCTTAGAAGCATCTACCCAGACATCCAACCAATCACCCACTGCCGCAATAACATCCATTTATACTATAATTTATGTGCATCCGCAGAAATAACAAGCACCCATCAACAATTCCAGGAAACCGATGTCGCAATAAAAATAATTCTTCCTGACTCTCGGCCAAGATAAACGAGGGAATTCATGATCTCCTTTTATTAAAGCAGCATCTTGGTAGTTTCATTATTTAATTAAAAATATGAAAAATAGCAAATGTATTTCACTATTATTTCTTTGCTAGTAAAATTAATTGGGATTTCCCTGAATCTTTATTAAACAAAAGATTGTGAATGTAAAATCTCTGAGTCGTGATGGCTCAGCAGATAGAGCGTTCGCCTTCCAATCAGGTGAATAGGGTTCTAATTCCAGAGATGGCTGGTCGATGCGAACTCCACACCCGACTTGCACCGACCACAGTGCTGACGTAAAAATATCCTCAGAGGTAGACGGATCACGGGTTCTCCTTGTCGTCTGGCTAATTGTGGGAGGTTTTCGTGGTTTTCCTCTCCATGTAACGCAAATGCGGGTTAGCTCCATCAAAAAGTCCTCCCCGTATTCACCCGATACTTGATCTTGTAGTTCCCTTGTCTTGTGGATTGGGTTCAAAACTACAAGTCTACGGAATTGAACGGCAGCAAAACCCAAAAAATTGTTGTTGTTGTTGTTAATTTACGTCGCAATAAAGCTGCACAATGGGCTATTAGCGACGGTCTGGGAAACATCCCGGAGGATGATCCGAAGACGACATACGATCACAATTTTGATCCTCTGCGGAGGGGATGGCACCCCCGCTTGGATAGCCCAACGACCTCGACGCGAAGTTGAGCACTTTACGGTAGCACAGTTTAACGAGGACCCATACCGCACACCCTCGGTCCCTATGCAGACTGATCCAAGTGGTCACCCACCCGCACACTGACCGCAACCAGTGATGCTTGACTTCGGTGATCTGCTGGGAACGATCAGACCACTGCGGGAGACAAAAAATTGAGTCGGCTGTTCAACGACGGTAATAAAATACTGAAATGTATATCCCTCTTATAGCTCTAGGATCGTTTGTTTTCTGAAATTTGAACAATGGGAATTACGTCCTGAAATGATAAAATCTCTCTAAATTTCAATTAAGACCATTAACATTTCTAGACAAGGTGGATTTTAGTTGAGCATGCAAAACTTTGCAAAAGAAACCTTATAATTACCTGGATTTAAGAATATTTCCACCTTGAGACAAGATTTATAAAAGCTTGAAAACCTTAAGTCAACCGTGTTTTAAGGATTTTACATGGAAGGTTGTTTTCCAAGGTTTTAGATTAGGGTAATGTACGTAGAATAGAGCAGATTGTCACAGATTTCGTCTTAAGGTCAGAAGGTTTACACGTAAACCGCTTAGCAAACATTTTTAGTTTTACATTAAGAGATTTCTGCTGAGTGAAAACAAACCTATCTGGGAATTTTTATATCTCGAAATAAATAAATGGTATTGTATATTGTAGGTATCGACGACTGCGTAGTCCAGCCAATACCCTGATCGTGAATTTAGCTGTGAGTGACATGTTGAATGGTTTTCTGCATCCAATGGCTGCTTATTCTGCTTTCAAGGAGACATGGATCTTTGGTAAAGCAGGTCAGTTCACTTTTTCTCCCTACTCATAGATATTTGGATTCCAACTTCCTTAAGTAAGTTCAGTCAAAATTCTTGATGGTCCCATCAAAAATTTTTGATGGTTTATGTTGGTTTCAGTGAGATGGATGATGGTCCAACTTCATTGGATGGTCATCATTACCATTAAGAGATGGTAATGAAAAATTCTAGTATTTCGAGATGGCACTTTATGATACCATCAAGAGAAGTTTGACTCTAACGGATCAACAATCCATGATGATCCGTGATGGTTCATGTTGGTTCCCACTATACATTTACATGATTTTCAACAAGAATTCTTGTTAGTTCTTAGGAATATGCCATCAAAACAATTTAGTTCCTTACGTTGGTCCATCAAATATCAGTCCGAATTTCTACATTGCGATGATGGTTGTTCGATCATTACAACAATTGATTTCTAAGATACTAAGACGGAAATTCGTGATGATGCATTTTTTTATGGTTAAATAAAAATTATTGTTAATGTAGCAGTAAGGTTATAGAATATACCACCAAAATAATTTGGCTGTTTTTATGTTGACCCAGTATAAGTTAGTCCGAATTCCTATGGTGATGAAAGTTCATTGTTGTTCAAACATATGATTTCTAAGAAACTTTGATTAAAATTTCTGACGGTTTGTTCATATTGAACCATCAAAACAAATTGTTATTCTTATGTGGGACAGTCATAAATAAGTCTGAATTCCTCTAATGGTTATTTAAGTTGGTTATCATCAATATTCTGCAGGTTCATCAATTGAAAACCATCAAAAATTTTGACTTGGGTAGGTATATTATTTTACATCGCACTAGACGTGTACAATGGGTTATGGGTGACAATCGGGGAAACATCCCTGAGGGTGATCGGAAGACATATCATAGCTATTTTGATCCTCTGCAGAGGGGATGGCTCCCCTTTTTTGTTAGACTGAAAGCATGCGCGCGAATTTCGAGAATTTATGGTAGAACAATTTAGCGGGGATCGATGCCGCACACCCTCGGTTCCTACGCAGGCTGATCAAATTGTACACCCACCTGCTTTACTGACCGCAGCCTGTGTTGCTTGACTTCGGTGTTCTACTGGGAACCGTGTCTTTACGATCACTGCGGGACAAAAACAAAGTTCGAGTAAAGAAGTGAAGCAATGACACTACTTATATGGTTCTTTAATAGCTGCTGCTGTTTATACAGTCCGCGGCCACAGTATGAGACGCACTCTATAAGATTCTATGTAAAATCTTTATTATCAAGTGATACTATACACAGCATTATTGTTTTGACGTGGCTGAAAGCGGTTTGTACTTGTTTATGTTCGTGTATCAATTAGTTAACATTGTAATTCAAACGTCAAAAAAATAATATATGTATGCAAATAGGAAGTATATAAAAAAATCTCTTAAATAAAAACCCATTACATGTGTGTTTGAATATAAAAGTATTTCATATAAACGCGTGCAAAACATGTCATTATTAAAAAACTACAATGCGTCTAATAATTGGGTCTAATTGTTATAATTTACTAGCATAATTCCTGATATAATAAATATTATATTTCATATAACATATCGTCTAATTTATCTAATCGTCTAACATCCATCATATATCGTGTAATTTAACCCATTGATACACTAACGTAAACAAGTGCAAACCGGTTTCATCCGAGTGAAAACAATACAGCTGTATGGTATTACCTGATAATTAAGATTTTACATAGAATCTTATAGTGGGTCTAGTAATTTGTCTAGGGGCTGTATATTGTTATTAAATGGCTGTTGTTGTTTCAGTCAATGCAAATCCATTACCAGGCTCATATATATGTATATATATTTCAGGTTGTGAAATGTATGCAGCGTGCTGCGGCCTATTCGGCTTGGTGTCTATCATCAGTTTAACGACGATCGCTATCGAGAGATGCACCGTGATATCTATCAAACCTTTGTACGGCGGGAACCTCTTTAGCAACAACAAGGCCAAGATGTCCATTCTCTTGATTTGGATTTACTGCCTCCTTCTGATGTTGCCTCCTCTGTTGGGGTGGGGAGCCTTCGTACCTGAAGGCTTCCTCACCAGCTGTTCTTTCGATTATTTGTCGAGGGGTGCATCGAACAGATCCTATTTCTTCTACCTGTTTACCCTCGGTTTCTTTCTTCCGGTCACCGTCATCGGCATCTGCTACTCTTTCATCATGAGGACCATTCTCGAGAACGAGAAGGAGATGAAGCGGAACAAAGTGAAGAAGAAGAGGTACGACTACAAAGCGGCCGAGATGATCATGATCGCCATCGCGATGTTCATGCTCTCCTGGACACCCTACTCCCTCGTGGCTTGCATAGGACAGTTCGGAAACGAGAAACTCCTCACCCCCTGGGTGTCAGTCTTGCCGAGTCTGTTCGCCAAGATGTCCACCATCTACAACCCCGCCATCTATGGACTCTCACACCGACATTTCAGAGCGACTTTAAAACGAATCTTTAAGAAGAGTCCTCAAAGTTCTGCGGGAGGACAAACGTACTTGAGCAGAAACTCTTCCGTACCGCAGACGCGTAACGCGTGCCCCTGTCTACCCAATTACGCGGCGGGTGCCTGCAGTAGTTTTGCATTGGAACTTCCGATCTGCGATCCTGAGAACAGTCGGGTCGTTTATGTGAAGAAGACAACAGAGGATGCAAAATGCCGTGCGGACAGTCCTCGGAACCCCGTGGACCATTCAAGGAACGCGTTCGTAAAAAGCTTATTGTTTCGTAGTGAGAACTCATTACACCAAAAATACCAAATACTTTTGAAGAACGATCATATTATGAGAGTGCCCACGCTCATATATTTTCATAGTAATCATACATTTAAAACACTCTCAATGTCTCAATTGCGATAAGCTTCAGTAAAAATGGAATTTACTCTTTTTTTAAAAAAAATTTCTTCTCTTCGTATTTTCTTCCTTTAAAAATCTCTTCTTTTCCTTCATTTAAAAAAAAAAAAAGTTTTCTCATATAAAAATTTGGATTTAACCAAAGTTTCTTTGTAATTTCAATAAATTTTAACTGAATTTTAACAAGTTTAATTTAATTAGCCCTTGACATTTTGATTCCCTCTAAATATATTTAGATGTATCTTAATGTATATCTAAATATATTTAGTATACATTTGTATACTAAACTATATATGCGTATTAACACTAAAAGTTAGTGTAAAACACTAAATATGTGTATTAATATAACATCTTATTTATATTAATACACATATTTAGATATATATTAATGTACATTAATAGAAATATTAATGATGACGCATCTTTTCAAGTAAGTGACACACAAACAAATGACTTACTAGACCAAATGACAAAAAATTAACCTAACCTTTTTCTTCCTTTTAAAAAAAATAGAGAGTGCTTACACTTGAGCTAATTCAAGCAAAAATCGGATACAGTTAAGCCTTTAAACTGACTTTTTTCCAAAACAAAATAGTGTGGCCTTTTAACTAAAATTTTAAAGCATGTCTATTTTGTCAGCTTTTGCTAAGGTTACACTGGCAAAGTATTCATTTTCTGTTCTCTCTCGGCTACAGCGGTTTATTTTATTTTGTACTTTAATTTTCCATCATCAGAAAACAAAAAAAAAAATTTCCAGGTAACTTTGTTTCCTCTCATTCACGCCTGATTAATCTTGAGAATGGTTGCCTTAAATTTAAGCGCACAAATCATTTGCTTTAAAAAATGAAGTTAGTATTAAAATTAACATGTTTCAAGTGCTTAAAAATTAGCCCCTATTCTTTAAACAATTAAAAAAATGTTATGGTTTTCCAGTGATCGGCCGACATAGTCTCGATGCTCATCGAAAAGTCCTCCACAAAGGAAAATTTCTCTCAATATTTCTTCTGGTTTGGGTACAAAATTACAAGGCTACGGAGTTAGTGCCAGGAGAGTCTGGTTGGTGGGGTACTGAACCTATTTCCAAGAGATCGTGATTTCGATCTCCGCCGGCCGGTGTATGGTGAAGGGTGACTGATGCACGTTAAATCTGTCGAGTCACAAAGTCCCCCATGTCCCCATAACAAATCAATACATCTGGGGTACTGATCCAGGACTTCTCTTGTCTTCTGTGTTGGGTTCAAAATGTCAAGGATGCGGAGTTGAACATAAGCAGTCGTAAACCCAAAATTGGGTTAGCTGTTCAACGACGGATATAAAAATATTAAAAAAAGGCTACGGAGTTGAACATTAGTAGTCGTAAACCCATACGATTGTGATGCAATACGTTAAAAATAAATACCAATAAGAGGTGCATAAAGAATCTCCTGAATAAAAACCCATCACACGTATGTTTAAATATAAAAGTACTGCCTATAAACTCGTGCAAAACATGCAATTATTAAAAAAAACTGCAGAGCGTCCAATAATTGGATCTAATTATTATAATATACTAATATAATGCTTGATATAATAAATATTCTATATTTATATAATATATCGTCTAATTTATTCAATCGTCGAATTTTTATTATCTATCGTCTAATTTAACCCATTGATGCACGAACGTGAACAAGTTAAACCGTTTTCAGTCACATAAAAACAATAATGCTGTATAATAATCACGTGATAATTAAGATTTTACATGGAATCTTGTAGTGCGTAATTTGGCCAGAGAAAGCAATTTTAAAAACCTTAATGCTTGTTATGAGATAATATTAAAGTGCTCCACTTTTAGAGAATGATCATACAATGTATAAATTTTATATAGTCTTGAGAATTTTCGAGGTTCCATTCGAAAAGACGTTTCTCAATCTTAAAAATAAAATAAATGACGTCGCTTGTGATGTCATAAAATTGACCATAAAATTTGTTACGAGATTCTCGTTTCAACGTTCATAAAAACACAGCTGGTTTATTTAGATGGGATTCTCTGAGCATGTTGGAAACATTTAGATTACCACATTATTAACTCTAAAACAACTCGTTTGACTTATATGAGTAGTATAAACTATTACTTTTTAACCGGTGGATATAAATGATGGAATTAATTTTTACAGCTTTAAGAATATAATAATACAATTTCCTAATGTCTTTTTAGAAGTCCGTTTTGTTTTTAGGTTTAGATATTTCTTGGTCAAAGCTTTCGCCAACTGATGGGTCAAGTGGGGTAAGGAAGGAAATCAAAACTCGCCCAAAGTGAAAATTAAATCAAAAATGAATGTGTATATTCCGTTTCAAGAACCTTATAATAGTTGTTAAAGGAGAATATGCAGTAAATACACGGCCGGATTATCCTATAGGCACACTAGGCACGTGCCTAGGGCCTACGAAATTCAGGGGCCTACGAAAAACTTGGGAGAAAAAAATTTATTGACCAAAATAATTTAGNTAATCCGGCCCTGAGTAAATATTTAAATTATTGTAGACAAAACTAATTTTTTGAAAACAGCTTAATATTACACTGGCAATAATTGATTCTAAGTGATCTCAGCCTTCAAAGAAAAAATAAGTCCATGGTCAACTTTTGATTTTCTTTCTTTATTAAATATTAATATCTGAATATACTTGGTAATTATTACCCCATTTTATGACACCAAAATGGAATGTCAAAAGTGATAATGAATGCGCTATTGTGACGCGGAAAATGCTTACGGCATCATTAATTTTCACTTATGACATCCTTTTCTGGTATAATAAAATGGAGTAATAATGACCTAATATCTATACCTACTTCACAGAGATATCATAAAATTAAATTCTACTGACAATTTGCTTTTAATCGACATTCAAAAAATGCACTTCTTAAATAACAAATAATATTGATTAATATTAATAACTGAATGTTTTAAACATAAAATATGAATAGGAGAAAAGGCTTTTCCTCCACTATCATAAAAGGGAATGACATTTTAACTTGTAGCTAATTGTTCTTTTTTCTAAAAAAAAAAAGCTTTGATCTACGGAGAAAGAACACAATATGGCTTTAGAAGAATATTGCACAGCTATATATATTATACATTCAGGATTCAAACAGAGATCAGAAGAAGAAACCCAAGGAGTCCAAAATTTAAAAACTTTGTGTAAAAGATAACTAGACAGTTTTTTTTTAAAAAAAAAATTAAAAAGAAGTTATTATAAAGAACTTGCAAAAATGTACAGTGTGCGTAAAATATTTTTTTTCTAGCCCTTTTGATATAGATTTTGACTTTGTTAAACTTCATCAAGAAAAGTATTTAGAGTTATCACTTTCACACATAAATAAATTTTCCAGTTTCAAATATTTTAATAAATCTTGTTAAAGTACAGATGTTAAAGATTAACATAAAAACCTACCAATTTTATTTTTTTTAAATTTGAATACATAAGAAAATCTAAGGCATTTTATAAAAAAAAAAAAAAAATCGCAGTAAATCATTAAGTTTGCTTGTAACACGTAAAATTAAAATTATTTGCTGTTATTTTTTTCTTCTAACTCTTGTAANTGAATACATAAGAAAATCTAAGGCATTTTATAAAAATAAAAAAAAATCGCAGTAAATCATTAAGTTTGCTTGTAACACGTAAAATTAAAATTATTTGCTGTAATTTTTTTCTTCTAACTCTTGTAATTCAATTTTTTTTTCTTTTAAAGTTCTTCTTAAACTATTAGATTTTGACAGCTAAGTCATAACATTTCGTTTCCCTGCTTGGACAGCAAATTCATCAGCGGACTTAATAAGTTCATCTACGCAACGCAATAATCTAAGGCGTTTCTAAGGACTAATTTGGAAATCTAAGTAGTTCCAATTACTCCTTGGAGACTTTTATCAGTTCCAAAGAGTATAAGAAGTCTGTACGAACCCTGATATATATATATATATATATATATATATATTTATTTAACTATTTTTATCCTATTATCATTTTTTAAATTTCTCGGTTACAGCGCCATCTGTGAAACAAAATGCATAAATCTAAAATTCGAATAGTTTTGGAAAATCCAATAAGAATCTGCAATAAAAATAGGACTTCATATTTAAGATTCTAAAGTCAACCCTCGTCCCACCCTCAGAAGGTGGGGTTGAAAATTAGAGTTTTGTATCATTAGATAACTTTTAAAAAATATTGAATGTTTCTAATCCCACTTCCTTGATTCGATATTTCATCGCGATATCGATCGCATTTCCAATTTTTTACACCTTGCATGCATATATATACGACAGACTTCAAGTCTGAAGTCAAATTCTTGCCACATTCGCTGACAAATCACGGTAACGAATGCGGTTGCGATCCTTTGTTGTACATAATATAATTCTGTTCAATAACGTGACATTGGCGCACGAACACATAATATTTGATGTAATACCATAAAAATTC